CGAACCTCTCCTTCATGAGTCCTTCCTGTGAGGTCTGGAGCTGCTCCAGCCTGGGCTTCCCACAGAGCTTTGGGAACAGTCACCTCCCCTGATGTGGGGTTCTCCATGGCTGTAGATCTAAGTCCACAGGCTGCAAGTCCACATTCAGCCCTCCTGGTGCCTTCAGGGAATGTTCCACCTTGTTCCTCCATAAATGCAGGGGGACAGTCTGCCATCTCCCCATGGGCTGCAGGGAAACTTCTGCTTGGACACCTTCTTCCCCTTTCTTCTTCACCAGCCTCAGGATCTACACCCCGGCACTACTTTTCACCTCTTCAGCACAGCTCTTTCTCCTGTGCTTGCTCTCTGCTCAGGTTTTATATCAGTTGGTCCTTATGTTAATTGCACAGGCACATCTATTGTCTCTCTAATGGCTCTGGCCTTGGCTACCTGAGTCGGGGGAGCTTTCAGTAGCTTCCTACAGGAACCACCCCTGGGGCCCCTCCCCTGCTATCAAAATCATACCAGAACCAAACTAGCACACTAGTAAGTTCTGACCATGGCATTTTCATGTGCTCAGATAGTGCCATTTCTTACAGGAGAGATTCAGGTGTTTAGTACATAGCCTACCTTCAAGTATGGACATTGAGGTCAGTAAGAGCGTTTATGTGGCTGAGAACCTGCTACCATTTTGGTCATAGCATAGTTTAGAGGGAGAAGCATCAGAAACTATATAAACTGCATTTAATTACCATTTATATTTTATTTGGGAAGAGGCCTTTGAGGGCCTCTCATCATCCTTGTTTACTGTATTTTAGTTTGCTCATCAGAGCAGACTTGGAGTGCTCAAAGTGGATTTACAAAAGTAAACTGGATTGCTGAAAGTAAATCCAGAAACCGGCTCCAGAGACACACCAGATGCACCGTAACCACTAATGCATGCTCAGTCCATGAGAGCAGACTGAAGTTAGTCCAAAATACCCCTTCTGAATCATGCATAATGTGGATGTCAGGTGCTCAGCACCATCTGCTTTGCTTTAAAAATCTGCTGAAACAGGTGATCCAACTTGCTAATGTAGGCACAAATTCAGTGTGTCTTAGGCCAGGAGAAAGGACAATTTAGCAACATTCCCCTCTAGCTTATTTGGTTAGCTGGGGGGCAAGAAGAGTCTTTTCATTCTGTTTGTGCCAAGTTGCTGAAGTAAAATTAGTGAAAGTTATACTTAATTACCTTCCACAGTTCTTCCAGCATTTTTTGCAAATCTTCTGAAAAATAGATTGCTTTTACTTTAGCACTGGATGTAGGTTCAAGGATAACTTCGAATTTCAGGTTGCATATTAATATTCAGAATACTTGCATGTGCTAGGAGTTTTCAGTCTGCGTAGAAGACCATCTTGCAGATTTGTTCTCTTAAGTATTATAAAGGGACCTACAGTAGTCTTATGAAGAAGTGGGGTATTAGGGATTGAAATCTGGAAATGTACTTAGCAACATACAAATGGCTGTACTGGGTCTAAGAAAAAAAAAATCCAGAAAAAAATGCCCTAAAAAAGCCCCATATGCTGTCCGTGGCAGGGGTCGATAACTGATACATAGAGGAGATGGAAGAAAAAGGCAGAAAAATAGTGATATTTTCCCATAACACTCCTCCAGGTTCAAGCAATTTGTGGTTTGGGATTTCCTGATCAAAAAGTGACGTTTATGTTTAATAGCCCTCTATTGTTTTCTTCCATTACTGTGTCAAGTAAGATTTTGAACTCAGCCATTTACAATGTCCTGTGGCAATAAGTTGCACAGCTCACTGTACTTAATAGGATCATAGTAGCCAAACAGTAATACAATGGTAATCTAGCTCTAAATTGAAAATAATATATAAAATGTGCTGATAAAACACTGAGATACTGATTGCATTTATAATTGTTTATTAAATAAAAGAGTTGGATCCTGCATACATATGGTTCAGCCAGTGATGGATGGTTTCCTATGGCTGCATAATAAGTGTCTCTGGGAAAGAAGGGAAGACAGGTGTGGTGTGCTTTTCTTTTAAAAACACAAAAAATGAATCACATGCAAATACTGATGGTCCTTTTAGTGATGCTGATTTATTAATCCCATGTTTATTGGTTATGCTCATTTAGATTAATGGTATTATGGTTGCCATTAATGGCTTATAGCTATTGGTACTTCCAAAGGCAAAACGTGGCCTGTTCACACACATGTATTGTTCAAGTATTTTTTAAAAATCAATTTTTAAAATAATTTCCTCTGAAATTGTGTTGAATTGTTTTCAATTTGTATTGTATTGCACCACATAGATGAAGGTTCTTCAGGAAGAAAGTGCCTCCATTTTCCCCTACAAAAGCCCATAGTCTCATACGCTGAATACTGAATTTGAAATATTTTTAATCCTGAATCATCCCTTGGAGCAAAACTCACTTGCCTGATACATGTGTTCCGATGTAAATAAGTGAGTAAAGAAAATAGAGAAGGAAATGATGTTGCTGTTGCTCCTCCATGTTGCAGAGGGGAGTTGAACAGTCATTAAATTGTTCACTTAACCATTCAGCACCTGAATATGTGTCACCAAGGGCAGAGGCACAACCCAGAGAAGCAGATTCCATTGCAGTAACAGGTTGGGATTTGTTGCCAGTTGTGCATTGCAGAGGAGGAAAACTGGCATTTCTGCATGAGGAGATGCTGCCTGCATGTCTCATTCCTTCCTGTAATCATTTTCAATGTGTCAGATTTTCATCTGCATCAGATATTGTCTTGGGTTTTTACAAACCTCTGCAAGAAATGTGGGTTGGTGCTTGTCTATGTAGCATCTGTGCCACATGTTGCAGGCTGTTACATTCTGCAAAGGGAATGCATGTGCCAATGGAAGTCTTGGACTCTGGAATGATGTATTATCTATTACTGAATGAAGAGCACAGAAGAAAACCTGACTTTTCCCATCAACAATTAATGGGATTACCAGGATTTCCTTATTACTAGGGTAATAGTAGATTTACTAAGGGTGGGTACATTTTTCATCAATGGAAAACCATTCACTATCAAAAAATGTGCTGCACCCTCTTGTTAAACAGATCACATAAGCAGATCCAGTCATTTAAGAAAAATGAAGCAATGCACCAAACTTCAGTGAGTAATAAGGAATTTCTCACAATGGAAAAGACTATGCATTAAGACCACAAGAAAAAGCAGGATTTCCACCTACAGAAATCAGGGTTTAGTCAAGGCTAGCTAGAGGATACTGTGGAGAATATCCATACTCTCTGTCATTCATTCTTCATCCTGTCCAAGTGTAGCTGCATAAAAAGTGGATCCAGACACAGGCAACAGGAGAATGGAGTAAAAAATATTTTTTAAGCAGTAAGACTTCCTAATTTAAGCACCTAATACTACTTGGTGCAAATCCTGCAACTTGTGTTAACGCAGCTGAACAATTTAATTGTCCTTCCCTACCTTAAAAAGACTGCCATCCCTTAAGGAAGGCCTCATGCTATGGGAGAAGTGAGGCACTTAGATTAAGCCTCTTTAGGAAATTAAAAAAAAAAATAATAATTCCACTTACACTTTGGGGACAGCTGCATTGGAAAGAGGAAAAAAACATTATTGAAATCGGATTGGCAACTCTCTATTAGCTGGTCAGGATTAAAATAGCAACAAAGACAAGTCAGTTGGATATATGATGGGGATTGATACATAGAAAAAATCTTTATTCAGAGCCAGTTTACTTCATCTTTATAGAACTATCAGTTTTAGAAGAGAAGTGACATTTCAGTCATGCAGTGCTGGGACAGAGCTGGGCTCTTGGTGGAGAAGAGTGAGGCATCAGCCAGCCCTGTGGGGCTTGGGGCAGTACATAAGCAGTAAACACAACACTTGTTTTTTTTTTGATAGGCTGGTGGAATCACAGAAGCTAATTTTCATTTACAAGACCAAAATGACATCATATAGAGGTTGTCTCTGCAGAAGGGCAGGGTCATCTCAGATCTCTAGATCCCAAATCACACCAGCAAAGCAGGCTGTTGTAGGATGCAGGACTGCAGTGGTCATGGCGTGTGCCAATACTGAACCAGGTCCTCACAACAGCCGTAAGCCATAAGGTTCAGATAGGAGGTGAAAGCATTAGCCTGGCCACTTCCAGCTTGTGCAATTAAGTCCTTAATGTACCCTTCATAAACTGCAGCATTCTTTACCTCTGTCAGAAGCTGCATCTTCATACTTGGTGTAGCTGCCACGTTTTATTCACAGAGCTGCTGCATTTCAACACAAGATTAAGCGGAAGGCATTAAAAAGTAACCTATATTGTTCTAGCCATTCGTTACTGCTAAAAATGAATATTGTCAGGAATCGTCCTTGAAAGGTGTTTGCGGCGCAGTACACTGGTCAGATTTGTGTGCTTGGGTACTTACCTTTTCTGTTGCATCTGAAGTACTTGATACTCAAGAACACCAAGAGTGCATAATCCCTGCCTTGCTGTGCATGGAGCATGGTACCAGTGAAACTGACAGGCCAGGTTCTCTGGTGCTAGACAGTGAAAGGTCGTTGCCCAGTGATATCGAAAGGGTGCAAATGGGAGAAGAACAGGATCTACATCTCTAGAAGGACAAGGGAGCACATATATTGCAAAGATTTGCTGGGTAGGTTAGTAAAATTTTCCCATTCTAAGACAGATACGGGAGAGTCCAGAAGCTGGGTAGCATTTTGTTTGAGAGAAGCGACGTGATTAGACTGATAAACTTATGAAAATGTGGGTTTTCTTGTGACAGTGGCGCTCACCAGAACTAAAGTGAGCAATGTTTTCTGTTCCTGTCGGCAGCTCTTGGACATTTCTGTGAAGTGGACCGTCCAGGACAACTCTCCCCCCAAGTATCTCCATTACGACCCAGTGACGTCTCGCCAGCTGCTGTGTGAGCAGTGCCCTCCTGGCAGTTACGTCCAGCAGCACTGTACGGCCAGCAGCCCGACGCGCTGCGCCCCGTGTCCGGACCAGTACTACTCCGAGGAGTGGAACAGCAACGACGAGTGCCAGTACTGCAGCACGGTGTGCAAAGAGCTGCAGTACGTCCGGCAGGAGTGCACCCGCACGCAGAACCGCCTCTGCGAGTGTGTCCAGGGCAGGTACCTGGACCTCGAGTTCTGTGTCAGGCACACGGAGTGTCCTCCCGGCTTCGGCGTCGCACAGCCAGGTACGTCCTGCCTCCCGCCGCTCGCAGACTCACTCCAGCGCGGCAGCACCTCGACGGCTCGTGGCAGCTCCAAGATTAGGGAAGAAGCTCATCCAAATGAAATTACAGGGCAGTAAATTGTAAAGCCAATTGAACCTGTTCCTAGTCTGCGTCATTTGGACGGTAGCCAAAGGAACAATTCTCACTGGAATGCCTTACTCCTACTGTAATATATAACTTAATGGCAGCAGCAAATGTAGCAAATTGCAGTCTAATGAGAAACATGATGGATTGCCTCTTTTAAAGGAACATTATCTGGAATGTAGTATTTCTGTGTGTGATAAATAATAATGTTTTTCGTTTTGCAATCTGCTGTTTCAAGCAACTGCATATCCTGACAAACACCAGGAGTACTACGTGTGTGACACCAAATGTATAATTATAACAATATTAATATAGCTCTAGCATCACAGCAGTGTGTGCTAATAATTAATTATCAGCATCCTGAGTGGAACTCTCAGGGAAGCTGTTACTATTATCAAACAAACAACCATTTCTTTATCAAGCAAGCTGGTGTTGTGCTGTAGGTCTGGTGGGGATAGAGAGTGAAGCAGTGCCTTTCAGTGGAGTTGTCATTTAAGACAACATAAATTGCTAAAACAGTAAGTTCTTCTCTCAAAGTAAAATACATAATTTATCATTTAACAAATGTCATGGCCCAGTTTAGCTCCAGTATTTAATACAGCCTGACAGAACTGTAAACTGTCATTGTACCAGAGATAGATAACTGCCCAGAGAAGAGCACTGAGGAAGTGAATTGAGAAAATCAAAGCATCTCAGACATAAACCCGTAAGCAAACAGTCTTCAGACTGCAGAATTACTTTCCCTGGGAATTATGTATATACAATGAGAAACAAGAAGACAGGCCTGTCCATTTTTCAGCTATGCTGAATGACAGGCTGGGGGTCCTTCCTTGTGTTAGGAACAACGCATTGGAGAACAACTTTGACATAAGGAGGAATGTTGCTGCTGTAACTGCTCACTAATCTCTGGGTAATTGATTACCTAAGGATTGCCCTGATGCCCTTGCCACTGTGCATTTCCACTGATACCTACCACATTTCCATATTATAAACCTTCTTTAACCAAAATCATTATACCCAGGGGCTTGGGTTAATGAGATTCCACCATACCTCCACAGCAAGTCAAAAGGGGACAGAAAAGAAGTTCTGAAACCATTTGGGAGACAAACAAGGAAGTATAAATTCTCAAAGCAACCAGCCTGCAAGCTTCCTTGTGAGCACAGTGAAACTGTGGAGGACAAATTGGAATCCCTCAGTTCAAAAAAATCCCAAAACTTTGGAAGAAGATAAATTGTCAAATTGTGTAATTTTTTGGAAAGCTGGTTTCCAAAAGACCATCAGAATGAACCAGCTAAACCCAAGCCGACCTCAAACAAGGAATGAAAACATTATAAAAATAATTGCATCCCCCTGTGTCAATAGTCAAGCTTTTGAGGTGAGACATCAACTAAGAATTTAATAAGCATGGAACTGTGTTCCCCGTTTCTGCCATATGATAGCCTTGAAGTTTGTAACGACATAATTTCAGGTGAAATAAAACCCAAGCGTAGAAAAAACGCTTCCACTGCCACATGGGGATGGAGTGTGGTCCAGTGTGTCATGCAATGCTTAAAGCATTACAAATCTGTGATCCCACCACCGCTGGCCACTCATGGCGACGCTGGGCAGATCACTTTACTTTGGTAGTCCCCTTTTGTGAGTGCAGTTGGAGGTTTTGTTCCTTTCTGCTGCGGCCGGCCCTGCGAGGGGCAGCTTTTAGCAGCAAGGAGCAGGGGAAGCAGCGCTGCTGTGGGGCTGCACCATCTCCCCGGCAGGAGCTGCCGTTTCCCTGGGGAGAACGGGGGATTCCAGGCAAACTGGAGGGAGCCACAGGAGGGTGGTTTGTGCTCTGAGCAAGATAAGCAGCAAAGAAGCAGCTGGCAAAGCTGGGAGGTGACTTTCTGCTCAAGCCTGAAAACACTGATGGATTCTCTGAGCAGAACTCTCCGTTCTTCCCCTCCCTGGTTGCTGGAACACAACAGCAACGTGTCTGTAGCAGGGAAAGTTGCTAAAAATTCAGACTTCTCAACAAAGCTGATTGCTGCCTGCTGGGGTGCAGGTGATGGCTGGAGTTCCATGCAGCCCAGAGCTGCAGGCAGCACACGTTGTGCAAGGAAAGGCGAGGGTAGGACCTGCTGCTGAGGGCTGGGCACTGGCTGTGGGAAGTGGAGGGTCTGGGGGGGATTGGCAATACACAGGGCCTCTGGGTTTCAGATGCACAGCTAAAAAAGTCTTTGTTTTCACTTGCTGTGTGATGAAAGAAGTGCTAGGTTGGGTGTACGCAGGTATTCTTTATTTAAGAGCTTGTTGAAAACTGGAGATTTGTACTTTTTTTTCTCTAAGGAAATGACCAAAATAAATAAAATTTACTTAAAAGTTAGCACTAAAATAACTATCCACATGTAAATACTTCCAAAATACACTAGATGGAAGCATTTTCTTATTCAAATATAATTTCCAATTATTTTCAAAGGATTTTAGCCATGTGCTTAAGTTCATGTTAAAAAATTCAATATTAGGAATTAAACCTGAGGCACTTGCTTAAAAGTTGGCTGAATAAAGATTAAGAGTGACCATTCTGCATTTTTTTTGGTGCTCTTGTTTTTCTGTCACTGGTGGCTGGGCTGTTTTCATTGTTTCATATTTCATGCATTAACTTCCTTCCTCTTTGTGAGTCTGATTGACATTCTGATAGAAATGTCATTCTATTGTTATATCATATATTTGATTCTGAAGTAAAGCACCAAGCCAAACGTGTGTATGTATATTAAATATTTCCGCTGTAACAGACAATCTACTTTCTTTGCTTTACATTCGTATTTAAGCCCAGAAAAAAGTGCAAAAATGTTACTTAAGTTCTGTTCTTCTGTATAATTTAATATTTGACCAGGAAAAATACTTTTCAGAGAGCCTTTAGTTGATAGTTGGGTTATATTTTTAGCTAGAATTAAAGTAACTCGTTCAAGTAAGGTTCTGGGCAGATATCGCAGAGTAGAATTTAAAGCAGTTTCCTGTGCCATTTAATTATCTTATGGAATATTTGCACAACTGAAGGATGAAGGTCAAGCATCATGCAAAGTCTGAATAGATTCAAGCAATTACTGATTTAAAGATATTATTTTATAAAGCTACTGATTTAATCAGTAATCACTGATTTCAAAGTTAGTAACAAGTGTATATAGGAGTAGTACTTTGTTTACTCCAGCAGGAGCATCATTCTCTTAAAGAATCTCTTTTGTTTAGAAAATTGAAGTGTCAGTATATATTTTTTCCTAAGTGTGATTCCTTCATTGATCAGAAGTGTGAAAAGCAGAAGCAAACACAATTTTGGAAGGAATATTTTCTTCTGTTTCTGTATTCTTGTATTTATTTTTCACAATTGGTGTTACATGTAATTGAAGGTATTGTGTTCCTGTTTTCACAGGTACCCCTGAGAGTGATACTGTATGTAAGAAATGCCCAGAAGGATTTTTCTCAAATGAAACATCATCCAAATCAGCCTGTCTAAAGCACACAAACTGTAGTGCACTGGGTTTCAAAACAGCATTAATAGGAAATGCAGTTCGTGACAATGTCTGTCAGGAAAATGCAGATCCAGCACCTCAGAAATGTGGCATAGGTATGTATCATACTAAGGAAGACTGCTCTGGAAACATACCTTTGATTACAGTGAAAATTAATGTCTCAGCATTTATGATAAAATACCTAGCTTGTTACTGATTTGCTATACGGTGATGGCCATAATAGAGTTATAATTGCTGTAGGTCATACCAGATGGAACTGAAGCACAGAGAGCAACAGCACTATAAAGACCACTTCTTAGTTTGTCTTTTAATGATTTTTTTTTACCATCTTTGCTACTTGTCCTTTTTTTTTTCTTTTTTTTTTTTTTCCCCCAGAGACAAACAGGGTAACAGAGATCAGGACAACTGGCATGTTCTTTTTCTCTTTCTCGTTTCAGATGTAACCCTGTGTGAGGAGGCTTTCTTCAGGTTTGCTGTTCCTACTTTTCTCACACCTAACTGGCTGAACTTACTAGCAGACAGTTTGCCTGGGACAAAGGTTAGCACCGAAAATATTGAAAGGATTAAACAAAGGCACAGTCCTCAAGAGCAGACCTTCCAGCTTATGAAATTATGGAAGCAGCAAAACAAAGAACAGGATTTGGTCAAGAAGATTGTTCAAGGTACCTTATTTTTAGAGTGTGTATATTAAAAGCAACCTTCTAAATGGTATTTTTAAAATAGCTTGGAATCAAATACATCCTGGTGATGTGTTATGCCCTGAGAAGGACCTGCAGAGCTTAACTGATATTTATTGATGCAGCAAGCACAGTGAAGTTGAGGGGAGCAGGAAAAGTATTCAGCTTCACCTGGTCAGCCAGCAACTGAATTCTTCCCAGACTTGCAGCCCCCTTAGGAGTATGTGTGGTGTCACAGCCAAGTTCCCCCTCCGAGACTGCACAACATATGAAGAATTTTGATCAAGTGGGGAAGATGTTTCCCACTGTTATATCTGAGCAGTGACTGTTGAGCTTAGAGGGAGCTGGATGCCTGCAACTGAGAGAGCAATTTGTTTTTTGTAAGGTGGAGATTGACAGCTCAGACTAGAACATCTATTCATGGAATAGGGATGCATAGGAGTCAGGAATACACAGACAGGCTTTCCCTTCTTTTTCCCTTCCAGTACCTATTTGTCATGCCAATTCACCGCTTTGTTCATGCTGAATCTGCTAAGACAGGTGTCAAAGGTGAAACAGTTTTGCAATGTTAACACCAAGGTCAACTCGGTCAACTTTTACACATAAGGCAAACTCTTTACACATAAACCACCATCAATGACCACCACATTCAAAAGACCTTCTGCCCACTCAGATTTTTAAAATGCTGCAGAAACAGGTTTTCCCCCTCTTCTTTTTGGCATATATGCTTATGTCAGACTGTGAAGTTGTGAAGTGTTTAGAATATTTCAGAAACCAAAATGACTATTTTAGCAAAGCTTGCCCAGGCATTTCTGGATAAGAAGAGTAAAATTCTCCTTCACTGGAAGCAAGTCCTATCACATACACAGAACATTTTACAAGATAGATGAAATGAGTTTATAACAATAAGTACTTGCTATGAAGTTTGTTTGCAATTTGGGCCTGTTTGTGTTTGCAAAATAAAGTAAATTATTAAGTGCTTTTCATAATTAGAGCCTAAAAGAAAAAGCAGTCCGGAGAGAAATTTTCAAAATTAAGCAAAAAAAACCCAAAGGGAAATAATCTTGAAATTTTGGATTTATTTTTTTTTTTCAGGCCGTGGTGGAGTTGTAGTGCATTTTGCTTACCTCTCTTCTTTTTGCTTTCTGTAGGTATTGATCTTTGTGAAAATAGTGTCTTAAAGCATATTGGCCACCCAAACCTCACCTTTGAACATCTCAACACACTGATGGCAAGTTTACCAGGCAAGAAAGTGGGAAAAGAAGATATTGAGCACACAATGAAACTCTGTCAACCCACAGAGCAAGTTCTGAAGCTTCTCAATCTGTGGAGAATAAAGAATGGTGACCAAGACACTGTTAAAAGTTTAATGTATGGACTGAAGCATTTGAAAACACGCCACTTTCCAAAACCAACCATCCAAAGTCTGAAGAAAGTGATTAAGTTTCTTCACAGATTTACAATGTCTAGATTATACCAGAAACTCTTAGTAGAAATGGTAGGGAACCAACTTAAATCAGTGAAAGTAAGATGTGTCTAATTCAAGATATTTTTTATTCTCCACTGACTATTTTTCC